TTAATTCCATCAATTGTTAAATACAGGGATTGGACTGGATTGTCCCAAATATCTTTTTTCAGCTCAAAAGTCTATGACTCCTGTCTACATGCTGCAAAGCCCTAACAATACTTCACTGAAAGCCACTTGGAGAGGCTGTAAGTTGATCATAATGTTGCACTGTTTAGCAGATATGCATGTCATGCCCTTGACTCATGCAGGGTAAGTGTGTTTTATTGTGCCAGCTTTTCTTGTAGTTTTATCCTAATCCCTCATCTCAGCCAACATTTGTTTTGGCTGTATTTGGTACTTCCTCCTTAGGAACTGGACTTGGTTTTGCTTCTAACTGTGGCCCTGAGGGATTGGTTGTATTGATAAGCTTTTACAGGTAAACCAAGCTGTGGTAATGACCTCCAGGAGAAGGCTGAGGCCCCTTTTTGCTGAAATCAAAGTGATCCCCTTGGGGAGGAGGGCTGGGGGATCCAGCACCTCTGAACTCAGGATTTCCCATTGAGTTGGTCAACGTTGACTTAGATCCTGTTGAAGTATCCAGAAGTATTTCTAAGTTGAGTATTTTTGGTCACAAAAATAGTGTAAGTGTTTTTGTCTTCCTTCAACAGAGGGCTTTTGAGCTCTTAGATGGGTTACCCCCCCCCCGCCCTGACTTGTGGGACGCTGTTGGGGTGGTGGTTGAGACCCATGAGATCCTGCTTCCCAGAAGCAACACATGCCACCTCAGTGAGGGTATGAGCCTCCCATCAGCAAAGGGAGACAAAGGAACTGTGCCACCTTGAAAGACTTGGGGGGAAGATCAAGGAGGAAATGGTGTGTGAGGGTGCTTCATAGAGTCAATAGAGCAGACAGATGAAGCCACGGCAGATGAGGGGATGAGGTGGCGGCGCATGCATCTGTGCATTGCATTTGGGTCATTGACCACTAATGTGGCTTTGGAGACTGCTCAATTCCCTGAATCTCAGTTTCCTCCTTTTTGAGCAGGTGGCAACACACATCTTCTGGGCTGCTGTGGGGATAAGGTGTGTATCTACAGTGCTTGACAAAGAGTAGGGCTCCATTCCTGGTAGGCCTATTTCCTTTAAGGCTAACATGCTTTCCAAAGGAATGGTATTATTATAATAAACACAGCCCAGGGCCAAAGGAGAGGGGTGCGGAGGGTGGGGAGGTATGGCTGGGAACTAATAAGTAGGTATCAGCAAAGGAGGGATTGCTTTGGTTCTTATAGTAAATGAAGTGGGTCACCTTTCTCATCTGTTACTTCCAAGAAGTTTTGATCTTCTCTGAATAAATCCTAGTATTATTTCATTTATATTACAAACCTACAATCCTACATTTTAAAAAAAAGTCTTCTGGGACCACCGATAGTTCAGGAATAGCCACTGAGGCAAAGAATTGTAAATTCCACAATTAGGCTGTAGTTGCAAGGCTTGGTGCCCTCATGCAGGGGAGGAGGAGGCAGATAAGAGTTAGGGAATGTCCTGCTATCCTGTTGTTTAGCTCTGTCAGTGTCCCTTGGAACAATTTTGGGGATGACACATAAACTGAAGTTACAGTTTAATAGAACAACTTAGTCTTAACAATTCTTTCATTTCCCTGATGAAGGCCCACAAGGACTTTGCTACCACCATCTCTAAGGACCCAGCTGGAGGCAGAGGGCCAGCTTCTAAACACTGAGGTTTGTACAAGGCACTGGCACTTGGTACACATTTTCTTTTGTAGTTTTCAAACCATCTGTGACATGATTGTGATATGGCTACTGTCTTCCCCACTCTGCTAATGAGGAAACAAAGCCAAGGGATTAGAAAACAACTTGCTTGCGGACACACTGCAAGTCAGTGCTTGGTGGGGCCTGAGTAGGCCCAAGTCCCATATTCCCTCCTTGGCACCTGCCCTGGTTTCTGAAAGGTGGTCTATGGACAAAGCATATTCTCCTCTTTGATAAAGGATAATTCAAGTTTGGGAATAAAAAGAGATTTTTGAGCCCTAAAAAGTGTGCTGAGTGTTAAAAACCTTGTACTTGGGGTATGGTGACACAAGTGGAGAAAAGTGTCAGAAAATGTCTTGCAAGGGGAAAAAAGCCCTCAGAAGGAGCCTTCCTTTGTACAGAAGGGGAGAATGCTGTGGGCTCCATTGGTCCATCTTCTCTGTCGCTTCTTTCCTTTTTTCCATTGTCATGTGTTCTGTTATCCAAACCTCTGTGTCCATGACTGGGTTACTGATAAATTCTAACCCATCAGTGTGGCCACTTTCTTGTGCTCATCTGTACTTCAGGAGCCTTGTGCCAGGCCTCAGGGCTTCTTGCTGCTGTCACTCACATGGTTGTTCTAATCATAACAGAAGTGAAAGGTGTAAATTGGGTGTGAATACATCCCACAGAGGAAAAAAAAATGAGAGTTAATATTCTTAAAATACAAGAGTTAGTAATAACAAAAAGATGAACGAGCACTCCAATTGAAAAAAATGGGCAGAAACACAAAAACTCATAAAATTCACGTATGAAAACATAATAGAAGAAACAGAACTAGCACGTGTGTATGGAAATACATGGATATACTATGTCTGCTGCCTATCATGGGCTTTGGGGACAGATCAACCTGGGCTAAGTTCGGATTTAGTATTTGCTGGCTCCATGACCTTCAGCAAAGTAACCTCTCCAAGTCTTTGTTTTTATCTGTAAAATAGGATACCCATTTTACCTGCCTTGAGAGGATATTGTGAAAATTACAGAAATAATTCTGTGAAGTGCTTTAACACAGTGCCTCGTACATAGAGAGCTTTTAGTGCACATTAGTTATTATCATTGCTAGTAGTATATTTGTACTGATAATTGGTATTAATAATCTAACATCTAACTGAAATTTTAAAAAGGTAATTAAAGCAAAAGGAAATATTATTTGTTACCTATCAGATTGGAAAAAAAGGTGAAAGACCTGACTATACCCACTGTTGGTTAGGTGTGAGGAAACAAATTCTTGTGTACTGTTCTGGGGTGATGGGACTGGGTACCCCACTGCTGCAGGGCAGTTTGGCAAAATGCATTAACATTTAAAATGCAGATTGTTTTTGATTTGGTCATTCTTCTCCTAGAAACTTATTCAAGGAAGATAACTGGACAAATGCACAATGATGAATATATAACAATGTTTATCCTGTCATTGTTTATGGAAGCAAAAATTCAGAATCAATTTAAATATCCTTCAATGAGATTGGTTAATACATTCTGCTTCATCTGTATGACAGATTACAAACACTGATGGCAGTGTTCAGAGTCTTCATTCACCATCATGGATAAAGCTCTCCGCCATACTGATGGGTAAAAAAGTAGGTTGCAAAATAACATTTATGCTATGTCTACATTTATGTATATCCACCTTTTAGTTTAGTCAAAGAAACAAGCTTGGAAAAATGTACTTTAAATTGTTGATATTGTTTTCTTCCAGGAAACTAATTTTACTATTTGATTTTTATGTATCTGTTTTCTTTTTAATCAGTAAAAAGAAAAAGGAATGAAATTTTTTTGTGTCCTCTAGCAGCATGCCCTGCAAAGAGATTTACATGTTGATCTTGTTCATGTAAACTGACTTGGAGTTATGTTCCAAGAACACATCATCACAGCATGCTTTCTTTTCTTTTTTTCCTTGTTTGCCAATCAGATGTGCTTCTTCATTCTTTAGTCTATGACTCATGCAAGAAGACAGAACCAGTATGTTGCAAGACTTTTCCATGAAGTAGAAAGAACATCAGTGTTCTCTCCAGGAAGAGGCATGCACTTCAAGTTGCCTTGCTTCATCAGTAATGAGGAGGTTGTGTGAATTTCCTAGGGCTTTGCAGGGGTTGGGTGAGCCAGAACAAACTGGTCAGCCCTAGATATTCAAGTGCTATCAAATAGTAGTCCAGGGCCAATGACACATAAAAACAAAACAAACTTGAAACTTCCTTTGCTTGTGTTGCTCACAATCATTGCGGTAGGGGTTCTCCTGAGGCAGTACCTGGACAGCCTCCTCTAGCTGGACACACAGGGAAACTGGAAGACTGCTACATGGGATGATTCCAGAGATCTAGATAACACTTTGTCTTAGTCCATTTTGTGTTGCTCTATCAGAATGCCATCCTTATAAAGAAGATAAATTTATTTCTCACAGTTATGGAGTCTAGGAAGTTAAGACAGAGGGGCTGGCATCTGATGAGGGCCTTCTTGGCTGCATCATCCCATGGCAGAAAGGCAATGCGTGAGAGCAAGAGAATGAACTAACAGCCTCAAGCCCTCTTTTTATCAGCATTAATCCGTTCATGAGAATGAAATCCTCATGACCCAAACATCTCCCACAAGGCCCCACCACCCAACACTGTTGCATTGGAAATTAAGTTTCCAACATGTGTCATTTGGGGGACAAAATATAACACTCTTTGTGCCCCCTATACCTCCTGAACAACCCTGTTATTCATCTCTTCCTCCTTTGAACTTCCCACTACAAATCAACAATTCAAAATGCCATATGTAGGTCTTGTGTTTTGACATATACAATGTTTAGCAAGTGTTGTTCCATTTGAACCACACAACAATCCTTTGAGATAGGCAGAGTGAGACTGATTATCTTCATTATACAAATGAGAAAAAAGGCTCAAAAGAATGATAGGACTTGACCAGGGACAGAGCACATTCCAGACCTGAATCCAGGTCCTCTGTCCCCACTGGTTTTGTTTTCCCTGTAACTTCACAGCCCTTCACAAGTACAGTGACAGTGACATCATGTACCAGCTGCATGGGTGACCAGGATCTATCTTCTCAAGTTGTTTTCTAACTGAGATGCACCGGTTTAAATTGCAGTTACACACACACACACACACACACACACACAGACTAAAACAAAAGTTTCAGGAAGTCATTATCACACAATAACTTGGATATATTTTTGTCTAGTCTATCCCATTCAATGTTTATGTTTTGACTGAGGATTCACCACCAGTGCAGGGATGTATGACTATATTAGAAGGCGGATTTTTACCTTCTTCATATTTTCTGGTAAGTCTGGCCTTAAGTTTTCCTGCCGGTCTTTGCAGAGGATTACCAGAAATAAAATGCAGCTTCCCTGGCCCACTCTCTGGATAAGAGACATCACATCTGTTGCAACAAGCAGTTGAGGATCCTCACTATGGGCCGTGTTCCTAGGAGAAGTGGCCTTTGAGCTTCCTGGAGGCAGAAAGAACTTCAGCTGGCCATGGGCAGGATCTAAGGGGAACTGCATCCCCTGGAGCACTGCCTAACTCTCAGCGGGGGGAAGGGAGGTTTGGAGCAGGGCTTTTAACCTTTTTAGTTCATAGGTTACTTTGAGATCTGATTAATACTGGGAACCTTCTCTGTATAAAAACACACAAATGCACATGCCTAGGAAAATTGCATATAATCTCATGGGTTTCCCAGATGCTGAAACCATTGCTTTACCTGAAGCTTGGAAGCGTATGTTGACCTGGAGGATCCTAAAAGCCAAAATTCAAAAATGATGGTACAAGAAATTGAATTAATGAAGAGAAATTCTTCCTTGCCAACTCACTTTTATCTAGATCACCTAATACAACTTACTACCTGCTTTTGGCTTTACAAAACCTCTTGCTTTCTGTAGTCTTTCCAATATACCTGCAAGTTTTATAAATTATGAATTATAAACCTCATAATGTTTATAATTTATGCTGTTTGATACCTGCTTATGTGAATGAAGGACTTGGCTGAACTCACACTGCAGGAAAAGCTTCTCACAGAAAGTCTGCCTGGGTTGGTGGGTCCATTTGCTGCCTCCTAGCAAGTCTCAAGAGTTCTGGTTTCCCCTCATCTTTTGCTACAGCCACCACTTGTTCTAGATCTGCATTCATATCTGTAGAATGGGGATGATAGTACCTTCCCATAAAGTTATTGTGAGGATTAAATGAGATCACTTATATAAAGTGTCTAGCACAGTGTCTGACATATAGGATGTGTTGGAGAAACTGTTGTCATTATTTTCATTATTATTGGCTACTAGCTTCATTTTGAAACTCTATCTGTGAACTATATTAATCTGACTTTTAGAGCATATGGTTAACCTATGATATAGCATTTTTTTCCAGTATTATTTATAAATTCTAAACTATAGGCTTAGACTGAGATTTGGTCAATGTTTATGAAGCAGTCTCTACCTGCTGAGAATTGTACCAGGCATCCCCACGGGTGGTGGCTCTCTTCCCACTCAGAGTGGCCCAGAGGTGAGCTTTGGTAACTGCATCATTGCTATGAGAACATTTGGAAAGTAAGTGGTTTCACCAGACTTGCTTGCTGATTGGTAGAGTTGAAATATGACTTTATGTCTTCATGTTACTAGACTGCCTTGATTTTTACTGTCAGAAAAGGTTCAAGTATAAAGATATAATCTTTATAGTTTCACATGAGTCTTACTGAATACTCATAGTAAATCTGAGCTGCTTTAGCATGATTGTCAAACTGTTCACTTATAGCCATGTTTTCTGTTGCTATGAGAGAAAAAAGTCCTTTGATGTGACTTATGATTATACAGTCATTATTATTGTCATCTATTAATTTACATTTAAACAGGTTTATAGTCTCTGACTAATTTCTGATCTAGTATACAGCAAAAATCTACATTTTAAATAACAAATATTGTGCTTTTCAGGAAATCATAAGGAAACCCACCTGGCCATTGAGAGAAGGTCCCTTTGTGGTTTCCTTCCATGGCTTCTAAGAACCTAGAGCAGTGTAGAGCATATAGTAAACAGTCAATGTTAAAGGGCACTTGTGAAATCATCAACTCTCAGTTTATATAAAGTAGTGCCCCCAGGAAGCATACATGAATTAGGAAGTCAGGATAGTCTAGCCAAAGAGGGCCAACTTCAGAACAGTTTGACTCACAGCCTTGAGGGCAAGCGAGGGCTCTGTCTACCTGGTGCCTTCCCAGAATACTGCCTCTCTTCTGGTCTGCTTTGGGGAAAGAAAGAACAAACAGAGACAGTCAGTGCATTGAATAAAAGAAGATTTTGGACCGGAGGCTTGTCATTTTGAAGCAAAATGTTTGAGATGTGAAGGTTTCTATTGCCTCAATGGGGAGACTGATGTCACCACTGATACAAAGTTTTGAATGTTATGGGGACCAGAAGATAAGTTGAGTGGTTAGTATTTAATGATGCAGAACAAAAGTCATAAATAGCTCATGAAAAATCAGAGCGCAAGTGATTGGGTTTGGATAGTTTGCTTCTTCAGCTGCAGAATGTGCTGTGTTCTATTCTGGTTTTTCCCCCCTTGATGTAGCAAAATGCAGTATGGTGAGGAATATAAATGTCCCCTAATGCATAGGCAGCTTTTTCTGTTCTAAGAGTCAGCATGAATCACTCAGCAGGTGACGAATGTTTAATTTAGAGAAAATAGAAGAAATAGCAATAGCTTCCTCACACTGTTGTTGCCTATAAAAGGTAGGGATAAGATTAGTTTTTCTTTTTTAAAAAAATTGTTATTTAGATTTTTTATTTTTGAGTTGGGGTCTCACTGTGTCATTCATGCTGGAGTACAGTGGCATGATTATAGTTCATCACACCCTTGACCTCCTAGGCTCAGGTGCTTCTGCCTCAGCCTTCTGAGTAGCTGGGACTACAGGCATGTGCCACCATAAATGACACATTTTTTGTAGTGACGAGATCTTGCTATATTGTCTAGGCTGATCTTGAACTTCTGGGTTCAAGCAATCCTCCCACATCAGCCTCCCAATGTGCTGGGATTACAGGTGTGAGTCACTGTTCCAAGTCAAGATTAGTTTATGACTGCTAGGAACTCAAGTGTTTGATGTGTCCCCATAAAAAGTTGGCAGGTGGGCAATCTAAGCCTGATGTAGCTGTTCCTCTAAGCACCCGAGGACCCAGGCTCCTTCCAGCTTTCTCTTCTGTCTCCCAAAGTTCATAATGCACACTGAATGCCTGAGCTCCAGCCATCATGGCCACATTCCAACCAGCTGGAAGGAAGGAGGGTCAAAAAAGGGGCTTCTTCCTTATTTTCCAGGATTTTCATATAACATTTTGGCTGAAGCCTTATTGGCCAGAATTTTGTCACATGGCTGCACCTAGCCAGAAGGAGACTGGGAAATGTAGTCTTTGTGGAAGTGTTTAATAACTGGGGGTTCTATCATGAAGGAATAGCAATAGAAATAGGGGAGAATTGACACTGGGGAGCCACCTCAGTTCTACCACAGTGTTCCTGGGATTTGTTGACTCCAGCCAGAAGTGGGACCTGGAGCATGCCGTGTGAAACCCTGGAAGGGCAGGTTTAAGTAACTTTGATAGGGCTCTGTGCCATAGAGCCAAAACATTGTGGTTGACTGACTGGTGGGCTGGGTGGTGTCCTTTGTTGTTCTGTAGCCCTGATTAGACCAAATGAATAAGAGGAAGAAACAGGACCCCAGGGAGACAACATTTGGCAAAATGGTCTACAAAGGCCTGGGACTCCCTCTGAACTTGGATTTAAGTCCCAGATCTGCTGTGTGGTCTTGGCCAAGTTACTAGAAGCTCTCCATGTTCTCATCCACATAACAGGAAGATTAATATCCAATTAAGGACTTTGGGCATAATTAGATGGAGTAGTGCATATAGTACATTGTGGACACATATTATAATTGTATGTTACAGTTGGAAGGTGATTTATCTAATATGTGTCTATAATACATTATATAATTATATAATATAATATAGATCAGATGTGCATATTAAATCATAATTGGGTGGGGTGATGTAATTAAAGTAGTCAAGAGCATGGCAAGATGTAGTTGTTCAATAGATAGGTTCATTTTTACAACTGGAGTCTTGGGAGCAAAGACAGCGTGGTGAGCTAGAAGCCCACCCTTTGGAGGTTCTGCTAGTTGGGGTGGTCCTGGGGGCCATTCCAGCAGCACCTCTTGCCACCTGTTCAGTCCGGTTGGAAGATCTTGTAGCAGTGTCGTCTTCCTGGCCCGCTGTCTTCCCATCCTTCCCCACCATCAGTCCTTGCACAGTGAAAAAAGCCCTCCTGCTACACTCACACTCAGAACTAACCACGAGAGAGCAGAGAGGCGGAATAGAAATAAGCTTCATGAGATCAATTCAAGAAAATTGGTGACTTCCAAGGCTATAGTGGACTGAGGCTGAGATAGAGAGTGGCAGGTCTAACAATCAGGAACTTAGCAATGGATCGACAGTTTTAAATTCTCACTGAGCTTGAGATAATTTTCTCAGATGGCACATACTCAGGAAGTGACTAAATACCAAGATGTGAAGAATGTATACGGAGGGATTTTTGTCTTCTAGTCCTCACTGGGGACCATACAACTGCCACCTCTGCCAAGCCTTTCCAGTGAGAGTTCTAGCCATAGCAGGGCCAGTCTGAACTGTCATCTTCCAGGCTGGCTTCCTGCACCTTCCTCACCTACAGATGTCCCACCAGATTCATGTGTCCCTCTGGCATTCCCTCCAAGTGAATCCCTTAAATATGTATTAAACAAAGGATTGCCAGAGCCCAGCAGGTCGAGGCTGTGGTGTCTGGGAGCGGCCACTGCACTCCAGTCTGGGCAACAGAGTGAGACTCCAACTCAAAAAAAAAAAAAAATGTATGAAACAAAATCTACCCAAGGCACCCCTGGTCCTAGTGGCAGGCTCCTCCAGACCCTCTCATTTCTCTTGGGGTTATTGCTATAGCTATGGGGTGCTAACCTGCCCCAGCCACCACCAAGTCATCACAGACCATCTCCTCAGCCATCAACCTGTGGCTTCCATCACCCCCAGGAAAAAAATCTGAATTCCCCTGCTGGCTCTCTCTGTTCTGATTTTAGAGATACATGCAGCCTCCCACTTGGCCCTTCTCCCCATCTCATTCCCTGCTTCGTGCAAATCAAATGCTCCAGAACTTTGCGCACTGTCCCTCTAAGTTACCTGTTCCAGCAATTCTCCCTGGGAATCCTTGGGTTCGGCAGAACTTCGACATGCGCCCCCCCCCATAGTCTTTTGAGCCTGACAGAGTCCCTCTGAGTGCTTTTCCACTCAGCCTCAATCTGGGTCTGTAAAGACTCCAATAAAACACTAACAGTTTCCAACAGCTCAAGGAACTCTAGAATGACTCCAACCCTTATTCAAGGGCCTACCTTAGCAAACTCAAGCCTGCCAAAAAGACCCACTGTTTGTTCCAGCTGACCCCTGAAGGTAGAGCCCCTGTCTCCCAGCATCTGTGGGAGGGTGAGAGCCTGACTTCCCCAAGATCAGTTAGCAAACCCAGCTGGGGTCACACGGACCATGCCCCCTTCCTGCTTTCTGTGATGTTTCACTTCCCTGACTCTTCTGGTCTCTCACTCCCTCCCTCTACCCTCTTTCTCCCTTTATTTTTTAATTTTTTTAATTTTTTTTTGAGTTGGAGTCTCACTCTGTCACCCAGATTGGAGTGCAGTGGCGCTGGGCTTGACCTGCTGGGCTCCAGCAATCCTTCCACCTCAGCCTTTCAAGTAGCTGGAACTACAGGCGTGTGCTACCACACCCAGCTAATTTTTGATTTATTGTAGAGAGGAGGTCTCGCCAAGTTGCCCAGGCGGGTCTCGAACCTGCAGGCTCAGGCAATCCACTCACCTCAGCCTCCCAAAGCCACAGAATTATAGGCTGAGCCACCGAGCCTGGCTCTCTTTCTCCCTTTAAAACTCTCAGTTACTGCTGCACAAATCAAAGTTGAATTCAGTTCATGCTGAGTCTACTGTCATATCACCCTGAACACACTCATCTGATCTCAGTTCACACTGGGCCAGCTTCTCTACTGTAGTAGTGTATTACTGATTAAAATTCATTCTGACCACTCCACCTAGCTTCCTGCTTTGTCTACCTTTGACATGCCTGGGGCAACTCTCTTATAATTATTGTCAGTGTTTGCATATCTATCATATCAATCTTCTGTGGAGTCATTCATTCATGCATCCATTCAAGTACTTTTGGATGAATTTTCTTCTCTGTGTTAGCTGTTAGAAGTATAATTCAGATATCTCTTCCTGCCTTACTATGGGCTACTATAACAAAGTACCATAGACAGAGTGACTTATAAACAACAGACATCACAGGACAGTTGCTTATGACTTTTAATAAAAATAAAAAATAAAACAACAGGTATTTATTTCTTATAGCTCTGGAAGCTGGAAGCCCAAGATCAGGGTGCCAGCATGGTGGGGGACTGGTAAGGACCCTCTTCTTTGTTGTAGACTGCAGGCTTCTGACTGTGTCCTCACATGGAGGAAGGAGGGCAAGAGTTTTCTGGGGTCTTTTTTACAAGGGCACTATTCCCTTCCATGAGGGCTTCACCCAAATCACTTTACAAAGACCCTGCCTCCTAATACCATCACACTGGGGGTAGGATTTCAATATATGAATTTTGTGGGGACACAAACCTTTAATCCATTGCAACCTCCCTGGGAATCTTTTGGTTTGGATTCAGTGTCTCTCCTCTATGCTCCTGCAATACTTGTGCTCAAAGTATGTTTTTATTAGACTGCACTGACAGAAATTTTTCTGTTTTCCTTGCTAGAATGCAACCTCTTTAGGAATAAAGTGGAGTACTTTGTGTTGTGTGAGAATGTGTACGTGCGTGCCACACAGAGTCTGACTCAATAAAAGATTATTGAGTGAATGAATGAATGAAAGGTGCTTTCCATTGATCTCCTCAGAATAGCCTAGAGAGATCCCTAGAGAGTGATTCACTTTGCATTTTTATGACTTGAAACACAAAGGCATTTGGGAACATTCTTAAAGGTATAACATATTGTTTAGTTGCTGGGAGTTCTGAGGGGAGAGGGTTCCTACAGCTACAGAGGAACTATATTTAGCAAGTCTGTTGATCTGTTGTTGAAGGATCATGTTTCCTTTCCGTAATGAAAGTGTTCAGTGCAATATCTGTCTCATGTTAAAAACAACCATGTAATGATTAAAAAGAATAACCTTCATGCTTCTGGAGATTGTGCTAAACCAGTTCAGTCAATATTCAACTAGCAAGCGCTGGTGGTTATATTTACAGTTGAACGCCATGAATAGAGAAGGGAGCAAGGGAAACTTCTCCAAATTAATTGCTGTGGTAAGTTCCTGGCAGATATAACTGGAACCTTATTTTGCTTAGCAGGATTCACGGTTAAAGGGTTTCTTTCTGGGAGCCTTTAGTCATTGTGAGCATCAAGTCCTTATAGCAAGAAGAGGCCTGGATATGTGGATAGTATTTGTCTAGGTGGACATATCCTAATTAATAGGCTGCTGAGGCTGGCTGTCCCTGAGTCAGTCATTGGGCTCTGTTTTGGTTGGTGATCTAATTTGACTATTTAAGCAGTTCCATTACATGTGAAATGGGATTACAGTGTATAGTTACGAGGAGCAGGATATAGATGTTCCTCACTGTGGGGTGAGGGGGCTTTTTGAATTACACATTGAAGCATTTTAAGGAGCTTTTTCAGACCCATGGCGGAGTGGGGAATGCCTAAACCAAAGGATTAGGTTTATAACCTAGGATTATTCTAGTAATATTCTAGGACATAATATTCTAGGAGTTAGCCTAGAATATTAGGCAGCATATCGTGGTGGTTCAGAGCTTGGGTTCCAAGTAGACAGATCAAAAGTTCAAATATCAGTTCTGCCACTTATCAGCTGGATGATTTTGGCACATTGATATCATATCTCTAAATCTTAGCTTCCTAGTCTGCAAAATGAAGGTAATAATAGTATTGGTCCTGGAGGATAATGGTGAGGAATAAATGAGATAGCACAAGGGAAGTGCTTAGCAGAGTGACACGTGGGAAGGGGTCACTGGTCATCACTTTGTGCTGTTTGAACAGGGGGTAAAGAAGCCAAAACTCATGAGTTTTGGTTAACTCTAAAAGAAAACACACACACACACACACCCCTCTGTCCTAAATACTGGAATTTCCATTTGCATTAAATGGAACTGGGCAGGAAAGTATTGAATGGCTCAGAGCAAAGGGTTGCAATTTTAATTTTAATATTAAATCATGGAAAGAACAGATCAAACCTTTGTGTTCATCAGTAATTCGGTAGAGGAGTCTACCTCCCCTTGCAGCAGCCTAGGGCTGAGAGGCAGGAAACTGTGGTCTGGTCACAGCTCTAGCATTAATCAGCTCCCCTCAGGCAAGCCCCTCAGGCCTCTGGGCCCAACTGCATAATGAGGTCATTGGCTTCTGATGTTCAAGGTCTCTTCAAGCTACACCATTCTATGGTTCTCCAACTCACTGCTGGTCAGCTCAATATTGTGGTACAAGGTGAGTTTTTTCTTTGTTGTATACACAATTCAGTTATTCTTAAAATAGTTTCCATAAGCCCCGAGAGAAAGCAAACGACTTTTGATTTGCTTCTTTTTAAAAAAATTTGCTTTTTTTGGCACGAGGAGATACTGACAAAACCTCAGAGGTAAATTTTGGTGATATAATCAACCACGAGTGCAAACTGTACTCCAAGTTCATGAAAAGGATGACAGATGCAGTAGCCATGCTTGTGAGAGTAGAATGGTTGCAAAGTAGAGTGAGGAGTGGAAACAGGAAGAGAACTGTGTGAACGCTCTTCACTTAGGGCTGCAGTGATCTAGAAAATTCCTGTAGGAATGTCCACAAAATGTTTCTAAGAGCAATTTAAAAATCAACAGCATCAATTTTATATCAATATACTTGACCAAAAATATATATCAAATTAGGAGAAAGGGATTCTGATCCTACTTATTTCCAGTGCATGCCTTATGGAGAAAAATAGAAGAGAAAGGAGACCAAACACAGGAGAAATGTCTTGTTCAGCTAAGCTGTTAGTTCTCCATCCAAATTATACATTTAAGTCACTATGGAGCTCTGACATTTCTATCATTGTCTGCCTCCAGGATGCAGATTCCATTGTTCTGGGAGGGAGCCTGGATACTCCTGAAAGATTTTCCTGTATAGCCAGCACTGAGAACCACTAGGTTCAATAGTCTTGCTACTACCTCTCTCACCCCAAGCTACTGAGGGTCAGTTGTTGAACCAGTTTCAGCCATGTTCCCACTTCATTCCAGAGCAGGTCTTGAGCCCCTGGATTTTCTGAATTCCCCCTTGTGGTGGTTCCTCACCTTGGGGAAGTTTCTCAAACAGAATACTTTTTGTCCCTAGTCTGCTATGATCACACCCTCCGTCTCCAGAAAAAAGATTCTTAGGAACACTTGTTTTAATGAACTGTTCACAAGCCTTCCATGGAGAGTGGTAGATCTGAGGAGGTGCCACTGAGGAAAAGCTTGGGGTAGCTTCTGGCTCCTTCCTCTAGGTCTAGCTAGAGCCATGCTACACAATAGGATCTCCCACAGTCACAGAATGTTTTAGACTTGGGCTGTCCAATATGATGGCTGCAAGCCATAGGTGGGTCTTGGCACTTGAAATGTGGCTAGATGACTGAGCTTTCTTAATTTCATTTAATGATAATTCATTCAAATTTTTTTTTTTTAGAGATGGGTTCTTATTGTATTGCATAGACTATTCTTGAATTCCTGAGCTCAAGCAGTCTTCCCACCTCAGATTCATGAGTAGCTGAGACTACAGGTGCACATCACCCGGCAGACTCAAATGAAATTTAAACAGCTTCATGTGTCTAGTGGCTGCCATATTGAATAGTGCAGGTCTAGACAAAGCTGTGTTAGATGCATTCCACTTTTCTTTGTGATGTAGGGCTCTAAGTGACTAAATGGTCCCTCTGCAGATATTTTCTCTGAGGTTTCCTTTGATCATTTTAGCACCTGACTCACAGTCTTCCTGCTATCACCTTGAATGACTTGGGTCCCTTTGAGTGACCCACCAATGTCTCTGCCTGTCAGTTCCTTGATCTCTTTCTCAATAATGACTATCCCTTCTGCCCCACCAAAGTTACCATTTTCTGAGGCCAGTGAAAATCCTTGTCATTACCTAGAATTTTTTTTACCTTTGAAATCTTAAAGAAAATGTACCA